GGTTTTATTTAGGTAAATAAAACAGTAATATGAACACATATACTTAACTAACGCTAATATATAACATAATTTTATAGCTTTATATGTATACCATATTTTTATAGTTTTTTTTTTATAGGCTTGTAGAGGTATTCAGTAAAACTAAGTTTTGTTTGAAAGTATCATACATGGGTTAGTTTCTTTCTTCAAGAATTGTTTCTTTGATTTTATAACGTTCTGAACCATCCCGAGTGACGAAACAAGCAAAACTAGTATTGCAAAAAATAACAATCAAACAAAAAACAAGCTCAATAAATTTACATTGTTCTTAATGTACGCAGTGTTTGATATAAAAAAGTGAATATAACCACAAATATCAGTCAATAAGTAGTATAAGATTGTTATCTGTATGAAGTTTGTGCTGTGCCTTCTGAAATGTTATGGCAGTTTGAAACAGATTAGTTTACTACCATCGCCATTCTCACGTATTTACAGTTCTCTCTTATCTACCTGTAACTCAACATTCAGTGTATAAACACTGTAATGCCTTGCAACTCGTTTAGAACCCTTATCATTTGTTCATGTGCACAACATGATGCGTTGTAAATCGTTTAAAACCTTATTATTTACTTATATTAATACTGTATAATGCCTTGTATACCTTTTAAAAACCTTATTGTATTCTCCTATGCACACCATAATGCCATATAAATCGTTTACAAACCTTACTATTTACCTACACAAACACGTAATGTCTTGTAAGTCACTTAAAACCATTGTATTATTTACCAAGATGAATAACAATTACAGCATGACGAAAATAAATTATAGAACCAAAAGTAAATGGCATTGATTCGATATTGCTAATAATAACACCGTAATGCCTTGTAAAACGTTTAAAAACCTAATTATTTACTAATTGTCATTGGGATATCCCATGTCCTTCAGTAAAATTAATACGTCTGGATAAGTGAATGTGTTGTCCATGGATTTCAGTAACATACTAAGCTTAAATGAGGCTTGGTTCTTAATGAAGTATATTGACATTACCAATCTGTATTGCTTGGCCAAAGGGAATTCTTGATAAAGAAAGAATTTAATACTGTATTACAACTTGGCCTCTTGTTGCATAGCCATGGTTGAATGCAGGTCGAGACATTTCTATTATGATAAATTCTTTAGCGAAGGTGGCTATAAAATTCTCAAATCTTAGTGTCATATATTAAAATATGTTCTTTTTTCTGTTTAGCAAAATTTATTATAAAAACTAAATCTTTGCATTTAGCAGTAACGATAACGAAATTTTTCTTTCCACCGTTTATATATTACCTTTACTGCACACATTTTTGACACGTAGTCACGTTGGTAGCCAAAAAAAGCAAATGATTTGCAGTTAGGAATTTCTGTCCAGGAAAGTTGTTATTCCATAAAGATCACTCAGAACACTGTTAGAAAAGATAGCTGCTTTAAATGTGCGGTGTACTAAAAACGAGAGACGCGCGCAGCTAATGCTTCGTGTTCAATCCATTGGCTATTTTGTTTGCCCCGCCTCTCCTAACAATCGAACCAATCTGCGGATGCTATGTGACAGGTGAACTGATGTATCTTACGGCAAACAGACACGGTATGCACGCCCTTGTCGCGGCCGGGCTCGGAAAAGCACATGATAAGTGAGGGGCCAAGAACGTCACTGTTTAATATACAACAGTAAAGACTAAAGAATGTGTGGACAGCTTTAAGCAGCATTTCACTCAGAAAATGCTGACAGAAATCTTAAATATGTTAGCTAATCAAGTCTGTGAGATTCAGAGTAAGCATAAGGTTAACTGTCGTTTTGTAGACGGAATAGCAGTGCAAGCTCGAGGGTACTCGTATAAATAGGTGTATTATGACTGCCTATGTAAATCATGCGTGAGTGTAATGTTCTTTTAAAAATTTAGTTTAAGGACGCCTGCCACTTTTCATCCTCTAAACATAAAGCAAATCACGACCCCAGTATGAAGCCTGGAAAAACTTTAAAATTTTAATTCATTTAATCTGTTGCTCGGTTATTTCATTACCATTTGTTGGATCCTAATCCTCAACCTTTCGCTCTCAGCAGCACTTTTGAGACAGGTGAGACCCCATGAAGAAACGACCCCAATATAAAACCACGCACATCTAACTCTATAACCCATTTCCTCTTGGCCTTAAAAGCGTCTGTGTATCGTATTTCTGGAGATACCATTAGAAGAATGAAATACTAAATACAAGTCCATAGAGAAATCGTAACGTTTGCAGGGAAACAAAATCACCCATCAAAATAATCACGTAAAGCATTACAAAAAGTTACGAAAATTGACAGTGACTACACACTGTTGTTATCATAGGCGTATTGTGGCGAGGGAAGAGACGATTTTTCACTCCGTCACAGGCCAGTCTATAAATCCTAAAAGTTAAATATGATAAATGCTTCATTCTTTCCTATATATAGTCCCTAATTTCATCTGGTTATTGTTATACTCCTGAATAATAATACAAAATCTCGTGCAAGAGGGGATATTATTATTATTTATCCAATTATTAAGTCTACTTTGTTTCTAAAGATGTAAGAAAATATTTTTCAGGTGTATAAGATCTTTACTTAGTCAAAATTGGAAACGACATAAGTGATTTTGATAATAAAAGATTTTTTCAGGAATATGTAACTGCCTGTAGTACTCAGTAAAATTTAAATAGTTACTGTAAGACTTGTCAATAAATAGAAAACCACTCTTTCCGTGACGCAGGTCATAAACGGAGTTCATTGTTGATGACTGCGATTTATAGCATTATATGGGGGAAGCGTGGATGGAAGGAAAGATGGCTAGCCGGCTGTCGTTGAATGTTATGGGTGTCGTTTTATCGTGTCTTCTGAAAGACACTCTATTGTCAAGTGTCTTGTTTTATGAACTTCGGAAGGTAGATATTCAGGGGTGTTAAGTAATGACACCAAAGGAGAAAAACCTGCCATAATTCATTCAGTAATCTAAAGAAAGTGTCGAGCAGAAATTTCATTTGGTGGTCAGTATCGATGGATTCATTAAACAAGTACAATGCTGTTCAACAAGCTACCTACTGTAGTATGTTTATATGTGACGACCAGCCATTTCCAATATCAGAGGACATTTTATAATTAATGTATGACAAGATCCTTAGCATAAAATATAATAGTGGTAAAGCACTTTCTTTGTTTCTTTATTCGAAGTTTAATGTATGATTGGACATACACACATATAGAAAGGGAACTGTTACTTAAGAACATTAGGTAAGAGTAATTGCTAAAAAAGCACTTTGTAACTTTATAATATTTTGATATACACCACAGTATTTTTGAATCACACAATTCTTTTAATTTCATGTGATCAGGAAAGGATAAATCTTATTAGAAGACTCGAATGTAAGAAACATCGGAAACATATATCCTAACTAACGAATGTATTGTTATTAATTGTACTCAAGTTTAATATACTGATGAACATGAAACCAACACTTTGTTACTTATCTATGTAGTGATCCTAGTAAAACGAATAACAGTTGTAACTGAAGACGATAGTAAGTGTGCCAGTGACTTGGTTGTGAGAATCACAAAATATGTCCAATTAATATGCATGTGAGAACCACGGAGAATGTGCATGTGTATTTAAAGAAAAGCGTGGAGGATGCACAGATAATCTGTATTAAAAAACACTGAGGATGCACAGAAAATACTTATGTAACAAACATGAGGATATACAGATATACGTACTTAAAAACAACATGGAGAATGCACAGATGATACACACACACATATATATAAGAAACATGGAATATGCACAGATAATACGTATAAAAAACACGGAATGATGTACAGATAAAACGTACATAAAAACATGGAGTATGCACAAATAATACGTGTTAAAAACACTGAAGATACACAGATAATACGTATTTAAGAAACATGGAAGATGCACAGATAATACGTATATGAGACTCAGTGAGGATGTACATGTAAAGCGTATATGGGAATCATATTAGATGTATGGGGGTTGAGAACCACAAATAATTTTATTTTTGATCAGAGTATATACTTTACGTTGTGTTAAACCGAACATCGTAAAGATTAAATCTATTAATCTGTTTTTGGTATAAGCTTTCAGTCTTGGTCTATTTTTCAGCCTCTTATAGTGTAATTAAAGTATGTAAGTGATAACTCTGATTTTTAACCTCAATCTAACACTGTAAAATAACCTCATAATTGGTAGTGTATCTCTTCAGCATTGATCTATTTATTCTACAGCTTCATATAGTATAGTTAAAGTATAGAAGTAATAAATCTGATCTTTAACCCCAATCTAACACTGTAAAATAACCTCAGTAATTGGTGGTGTATCTCTTCAGCATTGATCTATTTATTCTACAGCTTCATATAGTATAGTTAAAGTATAGAAGTAATAAATCTGATCTTTAACCCCAATCTAATAGTGTAAAATAACCTCAGTAATTAGTGGTGTATCTCTCCAGCTTCAACTCAAAATGTACAGTGCACAACTTGATCTTTACCCTCAAATCTAAAACAGAAAAGGGTAATCGAATGCTGAGGTACTTTACACGCACTTCACGTAACTTACATATACGCGCTTAAGGAACCACACAACACGACATTCAATAACTTGAAAAGTAGTTGTATTTGTTGCCATTGAAAATAATGTATAATGCGTTTGCTGTTACTTCTCGATAAATTTGTGCCCTTAGTATAAAATTACCATTAGCTTCAACGTGTGGTTTCAGAAAGAATACCATATATTTCTACATGGTCTTATATTTGTTTAAATCAAGGACAATTGTTGAAAAGGTCACCCTGAAACGGCTACACTCAAATATGATGGCCATTTCAGTCGCTACAAATTGTGTATGTTCAGTACGTCATTCTGACCAGCTGACCAATGAGCTCTAAGTTTATAAAGTCCCACGACAAAAGCAGCACAAGCCCGCCACCTACTGAGCTCTTCGCAAGATACAGCGGTATTGTCCGGCAAGCGTTCGTGTGAGCGCGGAAGACGAAAGCTAGCTCGCGCGGTTCGCTCGTTGGTTTTACCGATTTTTGTTGGAACTGCTTGAGCGACGCATCAGTTTTCACACTCTGGCAGCAGCTTACAGTAAGGGGGAACAACTAAGGTAAAGCAGACAACCCTCCACATGGTGCTGAACGCGCCAACTGCACGCAGCCAGCACTAGCCACGCACACAGCTCGAGTTAGAGGAACTTGGGGCCAGGCAACGCCCGCGGCTGCTACGACTGACAGCTCATTTATTATCTGTGTTATAGTAACAGTCTTTTGATTGACAGTTGCGATTGCATGAGCCTCTGGAGTCACTAGCTCTAGTACAGTGTGTGTAGTAGTAAATATAATTGTATAGAAGAAGGCAGAAGCTTGAAACTTCGTCAAGATTTCGTGGTCACTTTTATTAGTGCGTCCTAAAGTTGAATCCATAAAGTAAGGAGATTTTGTTGTGGGACTTTACGAGACATTCAGCAGCCAAAAGAAGTATCCTCCGAGTTCGTCAACAACTGGGGTACTGAGTGGTTGATGGCGCAGAGGGTAAGTGAGGTTTCACGGCTGAAGTGGCCAGTTCTTGTCATGTTTTACGACATTCTCTGATTTATGGAGTTCCCAGCGAGTGACGTATAACAGCTGCGGTTTACTCTTCTGTCCCACATGCAGTACGATGAAGGCATCCCGCACTACGGCACCATGGACGGTCCGACATCGCTGTACGACCCGCACGCTCATCGGCCGATGCCCACCCTCACACACAGCCCACACATGAACCACGGCCCCTCCATGCACCAGTATCACCCTAGCAACCATGTCTCCGGAATCATGTCCAACCATGTCATGGGTTCCGTGCCCGACGTCCACAAAAGGGACAAAGACGCTATTTATGGGTGAGTTTCCTCGCGTTATCCTTGTGAGGTCAAGGTCTAATTATAACTCTTCTAAACACATCGTCGTATAGATAACACATAAGTGTAACAGCAAGAGACTATATATATAAATATTAACATGCATGCATACTAGTATATATTTAACAAATGCTACACTGTTACATATAATTAGACCTCTGATATCGTATGGTTAACAAAGCTATTAACTTCATAACAGAGTTCACAGCATAAAAAAAGGTTATTCATTTCGAAATGACACAAAATATTAGAGCGTTTTTCAGACTTTAAATGTCTGAAGTTTTGTTATTTTACACTGTAATATTTTACGTTTCTTTAGCACTTAGAAATGTGCTTAAGGTTCGTTTTTGCAACGTAAAATAACTCGAAAGTTTTACACTGAACAACGATGTGAAAATTAAATACAAGAAAGTTACGTTGTTTATTTACTCACTACAAGCATATGTGTATAAATTAGTGTCTTATTTCGTAAACAGTTTTATGTATAGACGTATAATTATATATATTTTTTGCATTAGAGTTGCATTCGCATTTGTTGATGCCTGAATTATATAGAAACCAAGGAAGCGATCAACGCGTAATTTTACTAGTCATACTTCATTTGAAATTATAGTAAATTATTTTTGTTTATGTAAGAGTAAAACTATGATTTTTGGAAAGATGTTTTTATGTTCTTCAGAACTGTTTTTCTAATATAAAATATCCTCAGGTAATGCCATTGACAATTCTAACTCTAATATATATATATTTATATAGGTTTCACTTTCTAACTCTAATATACATTTGTATATAAGTTTCACTTTCTAACTCTAATATATACGTGTATATAGGATTCACTTTCTAACTCTAATATATATATGTGTATATAGGTTTCACTTTCTAATTCTAATATATATGTGTATATAAGTTTCACTTTCTAACTCTTATATATATGTGTATATAAGTTTCACTTTCTAACTCTAATATATATGTGTATATAAGTTTCACTTTCTAACTCTAATATATATGTGTATAGGTTTCACTTTCGAATATGTGATTCATTTATCTAAAAATTATATGTTCTAAGAAAAATGAGGGGTCAATGGCCTTACGCATACTAGAACTTTAACACTGGAAGTAAGTAATAAATTAGAAGATGTTAAGCGGCGATCATTAATTCATTCTAAGTTACCAAATTTATGTAGCATGTGCTGTCGTCGTGTCAGGTCGGGCGGCGGGCAGGCCAAATCACGTGAGCCCGCAATTTTCCGGGACACTCGTCCCAAGTAGCTTTGTAGGCGCGCTCTGAATAAAACTTTGTTCACGTAGTCGCTACTTAGATGCTGTAATATGAATACGTTTTCTGTTTCTAAAAGAGTTAAGTAGCATATGTGTAAAATGTATCCTAGTGACCAGCAAGAATTGCTCTGCAACTCAACTGGGGGTCGCTAGGGTCACAAGAGTTTATCCAAATCAACTTGTATTTCCTTCCTGTTTTCACAGTCATCCCTTGTTCCCGCTGCTCGCACTCATATTCGAAAAGTGTGAACTAGCAACGTGCACTCCGCGGGAACCCGGAATAGCGGGAGGCGATGTTTGTTCTTCCGAGTCTTTCAACGAAGACATTGCCGTTTTTGCTAAACAGGTGATCCTTTCTGTTTCTTTGTTTAATAATCTATTTCACGTCTGCTATAGAGACTGTTTTTTGTTTTAGAGCTGGTAACATTTTGTGAAATATATATATTGAAACACATATCTATGTATTCACAAAAACCCGTGAAACAGGACTGGGTTATTTTTCAACATAATAATAATAACAACATATCCAAACGTCGTAACCAGGTACCCATTTTATCGTCTTTTATCCTCCGAAACAGGTACAAAGCATCAGCAAGACCGATATTGCATTGTATACTGAAACTTGTGTTTTGAGGGAATCACAGAACAATACAAAACAATCGTAATAAAACAATACATATAAAAACTATTGTAATAAAACAACCATTATAAAAACGATTGTAATGAAACAACACATGTAAAAACCATTGTATTAAAACAACACATGTAAAAACCATTGTAATAAAACAATATGTATGAGAATGATTGTTATAAAACAATACATACGAGATAATACTTGTGTTTTTTTTATTGTTACATTGAGTAACGCAAAAGTTATGATTCAAAACAATTCACAATGGTATTTTTTCCTTGGAATAACTTTCATACGCTTATATTTCACATGTTATATTTCACTTAGTTAAAAGTTAGGTGTTTTTTTTTCTTTTCTTTCAGTTAAAATGGCTGTTGGGAGAGAGTTTGATAAACAGAATACATAACAGTTTAGATCTCTTTTTGTATTTTCTAACTTTACCGTAAATTTAGTTTTTATAAAGAAAGATTTCTTTAGTTTTTAAGTTTCCTTTGTGTATGTTTAATTATACACTTCCTATCTTACAAGCAATAACAATAGTTTATTTATCAGTGCTTCCAAAATCTTGAGTTTTGGTTAGTTTTCTTCAACACTGAATATTGTGAGAGGTCATCCTTTAAAGTTTGTAAGTGCACATAAATATAGACATACTAGAGCTTAGGTTGTTTTCAGCATTGAACAGCATGAATATAAAACAGGAGGACCATTTCTTATTATATACAATAATAATTTCCTCCAGCCACTTTTGTTATGGTGAATTAATTCTGTCGAAATATCAAATAATTTAATAACGTATTTATCTACAGAAATTAGTTTACTCTGTTTTCCTGAAGTTTTCAAATATTATTTCTAGGGTTCTAATAATAGCCGATTTTTAGTTTACTATTGTGATGAAATAAAGAAATGTCCCCCCAGTGGCACAGTGCTATGTCTGCGGACTTACAACGCTAGAATCCGGGTTTCGATACCCGTGGAGCACAGATAGCCCATTGTGTAGCTTTGTGCTTAATTACAAAACAAACAAACAAACAAACAATAAAGAATTTGAGTAGCCAAGAAGAAAGGAGGAAATAACATCTCGATTAAAAAAATTCATTGCATTAGAAAAGAAATACTTAGTTTATTGATTAAAAATCAATACCTGCTACGTAATTACTAACACAAAAATCAAATGAGGAACAAGTTTGAATGTTTCAAACATTTCATAACACATATTAAAGTAGAATGAAAGAAGCAGGATTTATAAACAGTTAAACTATTAACGCATTTTCGTAAAATTACTTTGTGAATAGGGAAAAAAAAAACTGAACTTAAATATAAAAGCCTACTTCAAGACTTTACTCATAGCTGTCGTTAAACCGGCGTCGTCTTTGGTGTGCGACTGTACGAAACGCCGTGTTTGACCGTCAACTGGAATACTGAATAAAGTGAAGACATGTAATGTACATACCAGTGAGGACCTGTTAGATTCAAATATGGCAAAAACGGTAACATTAGATTTTCAAAAGAAGGCACTTTAGGAAGCTGGGCTCAGTGAGATATAAAAACGTTTTTCCACTAATATACAATAAATCCTCAACGTGTTATCAACAACTCGCCCGTATACGGTTCCTACGGAACTCGCGTTAAACCTAGGACGTTTCTGAGCAATCTTCGAAGAAATACTCAGAGTTCATATGTTTTGTGAATAACTTTCGTAGTTGTACAATATTCTATAGTAGTTCTTATTGTGGGTTCAATAATTACTGTGTATGCTTTGCAAATGCATCTTGGATATAATAAAATAGTACCAGCCAGTGTACAAACATGGAGACACAGACCTATTTATTATATATAGAAAAGTGAGAAAAATATGGTCTTTATATAGTTTTAGTATAAAATAACGGGAAGTTCAAAAATATCAATCTAATAGAAACATGAATTTTGTAACATGTTTATTTAAAATACCTATCTAGTTTACTCTTTATTGTAGTCAAGAGCCAGTTAAAAACGACACCGATGTTAGTTAATGTAAAAACTACATAGGAAACAATTAGTGTAAAAACTACACAGGAATCAGTTAGTGTAAAATACTACACAGTAGACAATTAAAGACTAAACATGAGTCAATTAGTTTAAAAACTACATAGAAGACAGTATAAAAGTAACACAGTAAACAATTAGTGTAAAAGCTACATAGGAATCAGTTAGTGTAAAATACTACACAGTAGACAATTAAAGACTAAACATGAGTCAATTAGTTTAAAAACTGCATAGAAGACAGCATAAAAGTAACATAGTAAACAATTAGTGTAAAAGCTACATAGGAATCATTTAGTGTAAAAGCTACATAGGAATCATTTAGTTTATGTAAAGACTACATTGAAGACGGTTAAATGAAATTGCATAGATTGCAGTTAGTGTCAAAACTACATAGAAGAGAATTAGCATAAAAAACTACACAGGAGACAGTGAAAATGTAGCTACACGGAAGCCAATTAGCGTGAAACTACACAGAAAACAATTAAGGTAAAAAAAAATCCACATTTTTATGACTTAATAACTTAGTTTTCGTTAAAACTAGTAATTTGATTTGCATATATTTCAACATTTTTTTTGAAACTAAAAAAAAATTTTCAAGATATTATCAATTAAATCGAGTATATAAGTTGGAGTTAAAAAACAAGCCGGGAAATCCATGAAAACACAAAAAGAAATAATTGAGCACGTAATATATACAAAAAAGATAAATTTTTATATGGGCAAATATAGCTATACTTTGTCAATAATATTGATATCGTAAACATAAGTTAGCCTATTTGAATACTGTTTTGAGTTTAAAGCAATATTTTTAAATGTACAGGTATCAGATGTAGATGGCTTGTCGTATTCTGATGATTAGGGCGCTCGACTCGCAATCTACAGGTCACGGGTTTGAATCTCTTTATTGGACATGCTCTCCCTTTCAGCCGTTATAATATAACGATCAATTTTCGTTGGTAAAGGGTAGGCCAAGAGCTGGTAGTGTTGACTAGCTGCCTTTCTTCTAGTCTGCCACTTCTAAATTAGGGACGAATAGCGCAAGTAGCCACTGAGTAGCTTTGTGCGAAATTCAGGAAATAAAGACATGCAGACAGCAGTTGACTTACATGTACAGTGGCAGCTGTTTAGCCTAGATCTACATTTTACTGTTGAAATAAATGAGATCACAAATTTTGTATTTTATTATATGTGAAATAAGTAATAATAGAAATAGTTTTTAGTTTGTTTATGCTTTCTTTTTCAAGTTGTTGTTTTAAAGTTTAATAGAAGTATCATTTTATTTTGTTAAAATTTATTTATACACACAACTTCAGTATTACTTTTTCATATCAGAATGTTTTAGTTTACTTCGAATTCAGTAAACGTTTTGCTTAGAAGTTAGACTTGCAATAAACTTTTATAATATCAGTATTCAAATTAACACCTGCTACATGAGCCAGCCCAGCATAGTGATATGGATTCATAAAATGAGTCATTCCGAAAAGGTTTGATTTGTTTTGCTTAGACAAAAAGAAGACGTTTGGCACTATTTTCGAGATCTAAGTCGCTGGACCAGACCCGTGACCTGACCCAAGACCATGAGAGCCAACATGGAGAAGTTAACTTGTAAATGTAAAGTAAAAAAAACAAAAAAAAACATGCTTCAAATGTTCTAGATGTGGTTGTGAATGTGATGGTTTAAGTGGAGCGATTAAGTTAAACCGTGGGTCCAGGTGAGACGAGAGAAGAAGTCATTCGAAGATATCCCAATCGATTTGACGTACCGGCTGAATCGCAGATTTATCAAGTAATTACTGCATTGACAGCGAAACGGGCACAATAGTATCGTTATCTTCAAAAAGGAGGATTGAAATCATATATAAGAAATCATTAGTTTCAATATTTTGTAAAAGTAACGGCACAGTAAAGCCTAACGAAGCAGTGTTAAAGTTGAAGATGCACGATGCATTACAAGGTGATGTCCCTAAAGATAATCAAATTAAAAACGCCATTTCTGCAATACAAAGTAAATATTAGAAGGATGGCATAATGCCCAGTATGGTACCACCATAGTATAATACACATATATTTCATCATGTCATATTTTCATTAATATTTACCTTGTTTTTTTTTGTTTTGTTTTTTCGTTTTAGAAGTTGTGCCGAGCTTCATTCATCGAGATCTATTTAAATAACCCTAAATTACCGGTTTTCGGGATGATCATCCTATTGAACAACCTTGGCTCAGTGCTAAAAGATGCTGGGCTGATTTGTGTGGCAGGTGTTAAATGTCCAGAATTATAACATATACTTTATACAATAGGAGTTTCGAAGCTTTTCACTGATTACTCATATGAAGAATAATAAATAATTTGGGCAAAAAAAGTATTTCATGTAGAAGTGTTATCAGAATAATTAAATTCTGACGTCATAGTGTAAAGCACGTGAATGAGGATCGCATTCTAGAACTACACGAGTTCCCTCCAAGAAAAAAAAAGAAGAAAGATAATCCCTATGATATAGAACTTCAATTCGGATTTTTTGGAAAGTAATAATAAACAAAAATATGTATATTTTTAGAGTGAAATTGTGAAGCACTGGAATTTTCAAAACTGTTTATGTTTAATTGGACATCGTATGTTTGAAATTCTGTTTATGGCAAAAAAAAGAAGATAGATACTATACATTTTCAGGTTTAAGAAAAGCTAAAATTGA